GAGAGAGAGAGAGAGAGAGAGAGAGAGAAAAAATCCCAGGCAGGCTCTATGCCATCAGCCCAACACAGGGCTCGAACTCACAAACCGTGAGATCATAACCTGAGCTGAAATCAAGAGTCTGATGATGCTCAACTGATTGAGCCACCCAGGCCCCCCAGCCAGCATTTCTTTATTGGGCTCATACAGGCTGTCAGACTGGCCTGACAGGGCAGCCAGCGTATGAACAGACCTGCCCAGGTGGCCAGAATGTACAGGCTTGTCCATGTAGCTGGAGTGTAGACAGGTCTAGCTGGCCTGTCAGTGTATGGACAGACCTGCCTGGGCAACCAGAGTGCAAATGAGCCTGTCCCTGGAGGTTGGAATGAGGACAGGCCTGTCTGACCTGTCATATGCAGGAGGCAGAGTGTAAATCGGGGGCCTTTGCTTTGTTTAAGGAGGGGATGTGCCCAAGGACATTTCCAGACTCTCTCCCTCATTGTCCTTGGCCCCAGGGTGCCTCCAGGAGGCTCCAGGGGACACAGAAGAGCCGGCCACACTGCCTGTTCTGAATGTGCTTTGGGGAGAACATCTAGCTCCAGAGTCTTGCACAGAGGAGCCCATGAAGACACTGAAGCTGGGGGAGGGGATGGGCTTCCCAAAGTCACTCAGAGAACCAGGAGGGCACTTGCCTCCCAGCCCCCGCTCCTGAACTCCTTCCTATCCTCCTCGCATGGCCATGATCTGAGGAGTCCAAGAAGGGCCCCGATCCTAGGATCCCCATCTCGCTGCAGGGCTGGGGGCTGTGGGGTCCACCATGGGAGCATCCTTCCTTCACTCAGGCCTAATCACCTAAGAGAGGTCAGAGGTCAAGCTATCAGTCATTCCCACAGTGGTGTGGACCGGCTTAAACGTCCCTTCCCTGTGTCACATCTCTAAGGCCCTTTTAGCAACGAAGCCTGGCCCACCACAAGGCAGGAATCTGGTCTTTGACAGGAGCACGCTTACACACCTCCAGTAGTGGGAGGTCATGCTTCCTGGGCATCTCACCACCTGTGCTCTGAGCCGGGGGCTGCCTTCCAGTTCCAACTCTGGCACTGTTGGGGGCGGTGGGAGCACTAGGCGTGTCCGTCACTTCTTCCCCGGGCAGGCCTGCAAAGACCTGGGCCCCCAAGTAGACCCTGCTCTAGGTCTCAGGCCTGCCTCTAGTCCCCTTCCCACCCCAGCCATCCTGGGGACAAACCCCATCAGTAGTGCCCACTCAGTGCACAGGCGGTCCTCTGGGTGAGCTCAGATGCTCAGCCTCTGGAAGCGCGGAGTGAGCTCACAAGCCCAGTGTGGTGGTGCTGGCCGGACCTGCTGACCCCCACCAAGCTGACGGTCACACGTGCCTCCAGGCCTCCTCACCTGTGACTAAACCCTGCGTCTCTGGACCTCTGCCTGTGTGATTACTTTGTGGGCCCAAGAACTGAACTTCGTGCCGACTCCTGCTGGTCTGGAAAGGCTCTCAGGTGCTTGTATCCTGCCCACCCCAGCCAGGCACTGGCCTGGCACCTGGCAGGAAGCACACACGGACACGGCCATAGGCTGCCAGAAAGGGGTAATGCTTTTATATTAGTTTTTCTATAACAAGAAAAATCAGTTTTGTTTTTTATCATTTTTTTTTTCTTAAAAAAGAATTTAAAAACCCAAGGCACCCAGAACATCCCACAGGCCCAAAGAATAAAAAAGGTATGTCATCAGGGCAGCTGGGCCCTTCCTCCTTGCCTGGCACTGCCCTTCCGCCTGACTTCTGCCCAAGGCCCCAGCAACCCCAGGAGATTTTCCCTCTGGCCTCAGTGGGGTTCCCCATCACAGACATGCCTGTGGCCGGCCAGGGCCTGGCAGGGAGTGGCTGCCTGGGCAGCTGGGAGTCAGGGCAGGCAGGCCAGGGCAGCAGTCCCAAAGGTTCCTGTCCCCAAAGGGAAGAAAAGGAACAAAAGTCAGCTTCTGTGAGTTCCAGAGGGTGGCAGGCACCTGGCCACAGAGAGCACCAAGATAACTCTGTCTTCTCCAGTGGACGGACGAACAGACGGATGAGCAGGTGGCAAGCCGTTCTGGCCAGTTCTGGCTGGGGCAAGATATGTCGGTGGCATAGGCCATAGAGGGCTGTTTTCATGGGATTCGTGTGTGTGTGTGTGTGTGTGTGTGTGTGTGTGTGTGTGTGTGCGTGCGCGCGCGCGCGCGCGCGCGCGCACGCGTGCACATGCGGGTCCAAGGTGAAGGGAGCAGGCGCCCGTGAGTGCCAGGGCAGGGTCAGACCCTTCCCTGAGTCTGCAGGAGTCCAAGGGCATGATGGCAATGGAGGGCGTGGGATGGAGAGGGGAACTGTATGGTGGGCTTGCTCCGTGCAGCCAGCAGTGTGTGACTGTGTCATGTTGCCTGCACGTGTCTGGCCGTGGGGTACTACAGGAACAAGGGGGAATGGGAGACTGTGTGTCCAGCCTGTGTTGTGGCAGTGGGGTGCAGGGTGGCTGGTGAGGGTGGCACTGGGTGTGTCTGTGAGCATGGCAGAGTGGGGCTCACAGGGCACAGGTACGTGCTGCAGAAAGGGGTCTGGCGGTCCGGTGTCCTGTAGAACACGTGGGAGAGTCAGGGAGGCCAGGGCAGAAGTGCCAGCTTTGGGAAGGTGGATTAGAGCTGGGGGCCCCCCAGGGGACTCTGGGAGGGCCAGGCGACTGCAGGCAGGAGGCAGAGTTGCCCCTGGGAGCCCAGAACCAGCCGGCCACCCACTGAGAGGTGTTCTTGCTGATGTGACCAGGCCTGGTATTGACTAGAGGGCTTTTAGGTCCCTCTGGCCACTCCCCAGGGCCTCTCCCAAGGCCCCACTCAACAGACCCGACCGAGGCCAATGTCCTCCAGAGAGGACAGATTCTCTCCCATCCCAGGACTCCCCATCCCCCTCAATGAGGGATATAGCATCCTCACTGGACAGCTGTTCACCCCCATCGTTGACCCCTGGCTCTGCCTGAGGACAATGCCTAGAGAGAAGGATCTCCACTTCATACTCCTGGGCTCCGAGAACAGAGGAAGGGGATTCCCAAGAGCCTCTTCTCCATGGTGGGATAACCGCCCCACGCACACTCTTCTGTCAGCCACACCTCCCTCTGTCATCCACCCATGGGATCCTCACCACCACCTTCAAGTCTCCACTCTGACCCAAGCCCCTGCTTTCAGTGTCCTAACAGTGGCCCAAGGGCCCCTTCACATGGCCACAGCCTGACCCTGTGACCCCTAGCTCAGCTCATTCTGATATTCCCTTCTGACCACATCTCTCCTCCTGGCTACTCACCACACTGTGCCCACTCTCCAACGTCCCTCTCCAGAGACCCTGCCCACCCACACTCCTCCTGTCTGCACCTCCTTCCTTCCCAGCCTGACCCCCGGGGTCCACAACTGCAGTCATTCTCTCGTCAACACCCTCAACGTCCTTGTTCCTTACCCTTCTGTCCCACACACCTGGCCAAAACCCCAGCCATGGATGGATCCAATGGTCCATCTTCTCCACACCCACCCCGGTCTGCTGAGCACCTCCTGTTGCACAGAGAAAACAGAAGGCTGAAGGCATCGGGCTGATGTGACTTCATGTTCAGCCACCAAGCCACTGTCCTGTGTGTGACTGCAGCCTTCATCCCTCCTGACACAGTGGAAGGACTGAGCCTCCTGCCAAAGCCAGACCCTCCTACTGTGTCCACAGGGCTAGCTTCTCCCTGCTCTCCTCTCTTACATCTTTAACTCCCCCTCCGGGCCAGCCCCTCCCATCAACTCTGTTTCTGAAAAGGGTGCAAAGTAAACAGAGTCCCTCCTGAACTTCACACCTCTTCCCCGTGCCACCCTCTCATCTCATCCCTTTACGGCCAAACTTCTTGACAGAGTTGTCTATGCTCCCTGGATCCACTCCTTGCCAGCTACTTTCTCCACCTTCACTGCCCTTGAGGCTGCTCCCCCACAAGGTCACGGGTAACCTTCTTGTGGATAAATCTGACAGGCCTTTGATAGTGCTCACCTCCACCTGCCTCTCAGCAGCACTGACACAGCTACTCTCTCCACCAGAGCCGTGGGGATGCACGGGTGTAGACACATGCATGCGCGAGTGCATGCAAGCATGCACACATCCTGCACCTGTGAATGTGTCGTGGAGTACATGTATGTCTGTGTGCGCTCTGTGTCCTGAGTGTGTGTTATCCATGCACACGTATGCATGTTTGGACATGTGTGAGCACGGGTACATGTCGGTTGGTGCACTGTGTGCACATGTAGGGTGCTTGTGTTGCATATGCACATAATCTGCCTCTGTCCCACTTCCTTCCATAGCCGCTCTGTGTCAGCCCCTTCTGCAGGCTCCCTTGCAGCTGGCCACGGCCTGTCACTCTCCCCAAGCGAGCTCCCCGAGCTTCCTGTGGCCTCATGACTATTTCCAGGCTGATAATGTCTGGACCCCCATCTCCAGCCCAGACCTCAACCTCCAGCCCCAGACCCACATACCTGGCCCACCTCTGGGCAGCTCCCGAGCACACTCCAGGCCCGTCTAACTCGCCACTCCCACCACAACAAATCTGCTCCCCTAGTACTATCGTCCATCTGGAATTCAAGTTAGACCTGGGGGCCTGTCCTCTCCCTCACCCTGGCCCAGCAGGACTACTCTGGCCTCTGGAGTCTGCCTGTCGCTCCCCCAAATCCCTTCAGGCCTTCTGCTTGTCTGCAACCTCACTGCCCACCCCCATCGCCTCTGGCCCGGATCGCCACAGTAGCCTCCTCCAGGCCCCCACATCCATGCCCTGCTTCCACCATCCCAGTGCCTGTGCCAGTCCCATCAGGGCGCTCATTGCCCTGGAGAGCTCCCCAGCCTGTGCTGGCCTCCCACAGCTTTGCCAGCCTCTCACCCAGGGCCTATACCGGGGTCAGGGACAGGAAGCTGGTGGGGAGAGGTCAGTGTACCCCCCCCGCAGACCACCTACCTATGTCAAATCCGGTTCACCCCGTCACTATCGCCTTTCCTCATCCTCCTCATCCTCATCCTCCTCGTCTTCCTCATCCTCTTCCTCCAACTGGCCCCGGTCCTTGGAAACGTCACCAAACTCAAAGTTGCCTTCTATGTCCAAGACCTGCAGGTGCTTCAGCCTCCGGAAGGCACTTTCCACCACGGAGCCCACGGCCAGCTTGTTAAACCTGTGCAGGCCACCCATTTGGGGTCAGTGTCAGAGGCCTAACCCTCAGAGTCCCCACACTTACCCAGCCTAGACGGTAAAGGGGAGGGAACGAGCTCTCCAGGAAGATGGCACAGGAAGCATAAAAGATGTGCGGGGGCTGCTAAGAAGCATGGTGTGTCATAAAAAGTCCCAGCTATTCAGTGTGGCTACAGCTTGGCGGGTAGGAGTGGATGCTGGGCCACTCATCCAAAAGGGGAAGGTCCCTGTCTGCAAATGCTCTAAAATTTAGGAGTGGCGGAAACGGGTGCCTCCTCTCAGCCTGGGATTACCTCCCTCTGGGATCAACCCCAAGGCCTGAGGCTCTGGTGCTGCCAGCCTGGGGTTACTTTGAAGCCTGGTGTGGAGTGGCACACAGGCAAGGCCAGGGTTAAGCTGGGCCAGGGACACACCTGGGTTGAAGGGAGGCAGAGGCTGGGCTCTGATACCAGGCCCCCTCGATTCTTTGTGCCTTGGTCCCCATCCCCCCACACGAGCCCAGGCATAGGTCACACTCCACCCCAACCCAGCCTGGGGCCTTCTGGGCCACAACTCCCCTGGGAGGGCACATTCTGCCTCCTCAGATCTGTCCCTTCTCCCTGAGTTGAAGGGATGGTTAGGTAGGGTGTTGGGAAGAACCACCCTGACTCTACTGTACCAAAGCTCATTTCCTGGGGGAGTTGGCTCCCCCATTAGAATCATTCTAAACCCCCAGAGCTCAGCAAGGGCCTGAGCACCTGCTCTGCTGGGTCTGAGGCCCAGGGAACAGCCTGGCCAGCTATGGGCACAGCCATCATCCGTGCTCCCTGGTTCCCTTCCTGCCACGGTAACATCAATAATGCCCACATGCACTGCTTTTAAAGTTCCTGAAGCCCTTTTACAAACTTATAAACCTTACCAGGCTTGGCCAGGACTGTCCCCTCCCTTGAGAGCTGAGGACACAGAGGCTCAGGGGGGGTTCTGTGATGTACCCAGGGTCACAGAGCCAGTCAGCAGTGAAGCCAGGTTTCAAACACTGACCTCTACCTGGGAGCTGTTCCCACATGCCTCAACTATCCCACTAGAGCCAGGGTTGAACCCAGAGGGGCATGTGCACTGCCCCAGGGGACCTCCTACCTGAGAAAGATGCCTTTGAGGTTGGGCGTGGAGTCGAAGGCATTGGCAGGCACAGTGCTAATCTTGTTGTTCTGCAGGTACAGGTACTCGAGTGACTCAGGGAGCCCCTCAGGGATCTCTGTGAGCTGATTCCCAGCGATGTCCAGCAGCTATATAGATGACCAGGGGAGTCAAAACACTTAACATCTTGCAAAGATCCCACCAACCACCTGGCCTATCTAATCTTATGATAACCCTGTGAGGTGGGGCCTTTAACTGTCCCCATTTTCCAGGAGGGGAAACAGAGGTTCACATGGATTAAGAGATCTGTCCAAGGCCACACAGCCTGTATGAAGCTGGAACCCAAAGCACCTGACTCCAAACCCTTGTTCTAACTGTTATATGTCCTACGCAGCTCCTTCTGTCTTCCCACATGAATTCACAGCCAAGATATCTGAGTGTCACAGTCCTTCCTCCTTAGTACACCTGTCACCCCATCAGACTGAAGATCCCAGAAGGGCAGAGGCCCGGGGTCCTCCAGTGGTTGCATATTCCCACACTGGTCCCAGATGAGGGTGAGGGTGGGGTCCATACAGGTGGGGTTGCTCATTTGTGGCCTTCAGAGGCCATGTGGGCAGGGGCCAAGAGCAAGGGTTCAAGGCCCACTGACCTAGGCTGGTCAGTCCTGGGTTCACCACATGCCTGGAGTCCAGGAAGCAGGTGGGCAGGGAAATGGGGTGTTTTTCCCAGGAAGCAGAGCAAACATGCAGCAGGCAGGAGACCTGGACGTGCATGGGCCCGGCTCACTGCCTGCCCCTCAGGCTGTCTGCACATACTCGCTCTGACACACACCTGTGTAGGCACAGGTGGGATTCCATCATCTCTAATCTCCCTTCCTCACCCTGACAGGAGGGGGCTCAGGGTCAGGAACTGGGGGCCATGAATCTAGATTCAAGATTCAAGGGGAAAAACCAGCTTCACACCTTAGGGAGCCTCCCGGTCACCTCCTCTACCCAGCAGGGCTCCCTGCTCCCCACTGTGTCCCCTCCACACAGCTCTGGCACTTCCTCATTCATTCCGAACATCCTCATGCCCGCAGGTGCTGGGGAAATGGAATCCACTAGAAGCTGCCTCTGGCACTGGAGGTCAGGGTGGCGGAGGAGATGCACGCAGAATCTGACAATGACAGCTGGTGGAATTGGCTGTGTTGAGGGAGCCCAGGGGAGTGGCCTCGACCCAGGCTTGGGTCAGGGGAGTACAGCAGCCAGCACAGGCAGGGGCTCTGAAGCAGTGGGGGCAGCTGCTTATAGAAAGATCTGACAGTGTAAGGAAGAATCCCCCCACCAGACACCTCATCCCTGACTGAATTCACATACCTGCCCATCACTGGGGGCTTCCTGAAGGAGATGACACGTGAACTAAGTCCTAGGCATATTATAGGCTCTAGGATGGTAATGACCCATCTACCTTACTCCCTGTCAGGTTCTCAGTTCTAGAGCTGTGTCTTACGTGGTGGAGGCCCGGGACAACTGTGGCATGAATGAGTGAGGTGTTCCCAGGGTGCTATGCTTCCAGCAGCAAGGCCAGTATGAGTAAAGCCCAGTGTGGCTGGGAAACCAAGGAGCTCAGCCAGGAGCAGAGGCAGGCCAGCCCTGAGAGCTGCGGCAAGGATTCTGGTCTGGGTCTAAGAGCAATGGGGAGCCACAGAAGGGTTCTGAGCAGGAGTGTAAGGTGAGTGTATGTGTTTCAAGATACCTACCGACTGCATACAGAATAAGGGAGTGAAGAGCTCCTATGGAGCCGGGGTGCAGGTGAGAAAGGGGGGTGGCTCGGGGTATGGGAAGCAGGGGTGGAGAGAAGTGAGTTGAGAGATGTGATGGTAGAACTGGCAGAGTTTAGTAACAATGGATGTTGGGGGCACGTGGTGTGAAAAAGGGGGTGTCAAGGGCAGCTTCCAGGTTTCCTGTGGGCACCCCCTTCAGTGAGTTAGGAAATGCAGCACAGCGGTACCTAGTGGCTCAGTGGGTTAAGTGTCTGACTTTGGCTCAGGTCATGATCTCATGCTTCATGAGTTCGAGCCCCACATCGGGCTCTGTGCTGACAGTGCAGAGCCTGCTTGGGATTCTCTCTCTCCCTCTCTCCCTCTCTCCCCCTCTGATCCTCTCCTGCTCGTATTTTCTCTCTCTCTCAAAATAAATACACTTCAAGAGGAGCAAGTGTGGAGGGGAGGACGATGGGATTCGAGCTCCTTGAGAATGGGCTCCTGAGGAAAACCAAGAGGGATTGACACAGGTAACGGGATCCTGGTGTCTGGCACCCAGCAGGGCTGTCTGGGTGAGGAGAGACCCCGGCTAACAGCTGCTCCTGTAAGGCCAGCTGCCTACCCCCAACTACCCCTGCCCTACCCTCGGGGCTGGCCCCCACCTCCCTGCCCCCCATTCTGTAGGCTCTCCCCTATGTTTCCCTCAGACATCCTCATCCTGACAGCTCCCCCGAAAAACGTGTACTGTGAGCCTACCACACTGAGGTCCTGTGAACACGACAGACTAAAATGCCTGCCGCGGGTTCCAGCAAAAGAGCAGGCAACAAACAAGCAGATGGATGACCTAATGCCCAGGAGGGATGAGGATCAGGAAGAAAAACAAAGCAGAGGAGGGTGACCGGTGGTGAAGGAAGACCTCCCAAAACAGAGGAGGGTGACCGGTGGTGAAGGAAGACCTCCCAAGGAGGTGACATTTGAGAGACAGGGAGG